TACATCTTGATAAGAGGGATGATGAGGATGGATCTATGAAGGAAACGATTTTTTTTTGTAACAATTTCATTCATTTTTCTCTTTTTGTTCACTTTTTTTTTGAAGTTCTTATTAGTAAGATAGCGCACTTCACACTTATCTGCGCAACATAAGAATATCATACTTCCGTTGAACAACCAGCAGGTTGTTGCTTTCTAGGCCGCAGATTGTAGTCATGTGTTTTTATGCTATCGTCTTTAACCGATGCGGTGTTGAAATACTCATCCTGTGTCTGAGCTTGATCATAGCAGTAGCCATGAAACTCATCCTGCTCCACTGCACCTGCATCCTGCAAAGCATCTCGTTCATCAGCAGGTCAAGCTGGCAGGGTGCACGCAGGAACTTCTATCGAGAAATGCTTCTTGAGCTGGTTGAGATGAACTTTGAATGGCTTAGCATGCGGAACTGTGCAGCTTACAATTATAGCAGTGGGATGGTGGACTTCAATACACGATATATTCCTGTCCAAGGTAAATGGAACTTTTTTAAACTACCTACTTAGGTTGGTATCTAAGCAGGAGGACTCGGTCGCTAATCTGGATAATGGACACGCATGCATGACGGTCGTGCGACTTTTTCATTCGCGCCTGAGCCCTGAGGCTGTAATCATAGGCCAGTCTCCAAGCGGTTTTAAGCAACTGAAGTTCTCTTATAGATGTCCACGTCCCGCTCAGAATATGAGCGTGGCGTGTCTGCACAAATGATATCTTCAATAGAAAGACGCGGGTCGCGTCCGAACATAAGAAAGTATGGGCTCTCTCCTGTCATTTTGTGTACTGAGGTGTTATAACAAAAAGACATAAAAGGCAGAAACTCATCAGTCTGTTTTTTGTCCAGTGATGTATTTGGCTAGCATATCTGGTACTTCCGAAACGTTCTTTCCACAGCTCCATTACCTGCGGAATAGTATGGGATGGAATACCTCTCGTTGATGTGGAGGAGACTGCAAAATTCTTGGAAGAAGGAGCTGCTAAAAGCAGCTGCACTGTCTATATTAAAGACGCTTGAAGCGTCATGAATCAGTACGATGCGCGCTAACAGGACTTTAGCCAAAGTAGTGGAACGTGCATCTTCAACTGCAATACTGATTACATACTTTGAGAACACGCATATATTCATAATATGCTTGTCACCCTTCTCTGCGGTTGGAAACAGCCCACAGAGGTCTAGACCAATCTGATTCATAACCGCGGCACTAGAGGATAGGGTCGAGGGTTATTTTTCATTTGACAAATGAGACAAACTTTTGTTCACTTATGTATATCAGAGCATTTTATCTCCCAAAAATAACTTTTACTTTTATGTAACAACTTGCGATAGTTTAATTGACCACCAGCCAGAGGCGATAGGTGAAAATAACCGAAAATGAGCGACTGAAGCAATTTTGGAATTACAGTAGGGAAATTGGAAATTGCTGATTGAGATTTCTGAAGAACGAGGTCGCCCTGTGGGAAAATAACGAGGCATCCTGCAGTATTAAGGGCATATTTGTCACATGTCTCGACAAACTTCCTTAATTTTGGATCGGCTCCGTCTTACGGACGGCCTATTCAGAATCATCCAGTACCGGTTCAGCCCTTAATTTTTCTAATTCCTTCCGCCCATAGGGCCCAAACGGCCGCGGGTTCTTTTACTTCCCCGGTTCATTCGGAGTAAGATTAGATGGTACCTCACAACTGTGCAGGAAGATGATTATCCAGGACAGTCCTGGATTTGACCTCTGCTCACTGATAAGGTCCACGACCGCAGTGCCACAATTAATGTCCTTAACGATTAACTTATCAGGAGCTGAGCTCCGAACAACACTATTTATCATCATGCATGTGAGTTGCTAGCTAAGCTACGTATTACCCATTCTTTCCTGGGTATTATGGTCTAGAGGAACAGTAGCTGGAATAACTGGTAGTGGTATAGAATTTGTACCGTAGATGAAGAAATGGAATATAATAGCCATCCACCCACATTCTAACGCTACCCTCTCTCTTCCCCAACCTTACTCTTCCTAAAGAACCAATTCCCGAATTCCAACCCACTCACATTGTAACCTTGCTCCTCTACCACTGTTCTTATCTCCTCCTAACTAAGCATTATCCCTTTCCTAAGCATCAAATTCTCCCATTCCAACCCACACTTACATTCTAACTCTGCTCCT